TTATTAATCATTACGCTGCTTAAATACGCTCAATGGGACAGCCGATGTTTGTATTGGCGTAACGAAAACGAGCGTAAAGCCTGTGATTAGTCAAGCTTCTGTACGCCATACGCCGCGCCGGTACGCCATAAGGCCTTCACACATAAAATCCCGTAAGTACGTAAGACGTAAGCGTAAGACGTAAAACGTAAAGCCCATCACACACAAATCGCGTAAAACGTAAAGTCCAATCAATAGCAAACGCGGAAAAGTTTCCTCCCATTTATGAAGATTTTTAATCTAGAAGTGTCAGTTTAGTGTTATGTTATAGCTGTACGTACATATTCGATCAAACAGTAAGTATCTTTTTTTAAGTTTAATAACAAACCTATATTAAATTCTAAATTTTACACTAATATGTAGTCCATTTAATTATATGAATATATTTAATATTATAATATATATTAACATATGTATTTAATATTATTATATATTTAATATATTTAATATTTATAATATAAGCACCATTTATATATACTTTGACAACAAAAATCAGTGTCGCATAACGTAAAATGCATGATACATACAGGTTATGTTTCACAAAGGTGTATTCATATTTTCTTAATTAAATATTGGTCTATAAAGAAAATGGCTCAGTGACAATAAGATAAAGAAAAATTGCAAGCCTTAGGGCCAAATCTAAGCTATGGTATCATTTGAAGAAAAATAGGGAGAAAGTGTATTCTAACAAATCTAATTCAAACAAATCTATTTTCCAGGTTATCTGTGGAAGTAAAGAAGTGCAAGAGGATGAGAACAGAGGATGCAATATTTGCAGGACTATATGGTTGCGACCATGGGTTTGGTTATATTACGAAGGAAGAAATCACAAAGGTGGTTGAATCGTCAATGGTGGGTCCGACCAATTAATTGTATGCGCCCTAATCAAGGCGATTTTTGTCATTTACTTCAAGAAATAAAAGATGATCCACAAATGTTCTTCCGATATACAAGGATGACAGTTCCAATTTTCAATAAATTATTAGAAATAATGAGACCATCCTTAATTAAAAGAAGTCACCGAGCTTTGGTTCCGGAGGAACGTCTCGCTATAACACTTAGGTACGATATTTTTTCAAACTGAAGCTCATTTAATATCCGCATATAGGCCGTACTATAAAATTTTACCTTTAAATAATTGAACTGTGTTTTTAATTGTTACAGGTATCTTGCAACGGGAGATCAAATACTATCAATTGCATTGGCTTATCGTATTAGAGAATCAACAGCATATAGCATCATAAAAGAAACGTGTAACGTCTTCATAAAAATATTAGCACCTGATTATCTTCGACCTCCAATGCAAGAAGAATGGATCAATATCTGTCATGGCTTTTGGAGAGATTGGAACTTTCCAAATTGTGTAGGAGCTGTAGATGGAAAACACATCCATATACAAGCACCACCAAACTCGGGGAGCTTATACTATAATTATAAAAAGACTTTTAGTATCGTATTGATGGCTGCGTGTGACCAGAATTATAAATTTACCTTGGTGGACGTTGGTGCCTATGGTAGTAATAATAACGACGCAGGAGTGTTTTCTCGATCGGAATTTGAAAAAGCTCTACATAATCAAGGACTTGACTTACCGCAAGGTGTTGCAAAATTACCTGGAAGCGAGACAGAAACACCCTGCTTTTTTGTCGGAGACGACGCTTTTCAATTAACAAGGAATATGATGAAGCCCTATGCTGGTCGGAATTTAAGTCAAATTCAGAAAATTTTTAATTACCGATTGTCCCGAGCCAGAAGGACAATTGAAAATGCGTTTGGAATCCTTGCTTCACGATGGCGAGTCTTCAGGAAACCGATTTGCATGAATCCTGTAACTGTTGATAAGATTGTCATGGCATGTGTTTGCCTTCATAATTTCTTAAAAACAGAAAACGATGCATTGCCAGTACGACATCGCTTATATTGTCCACCTAACTTTGTGGACTCGAAATCTGAAAACGGCGACGTTGTTCCTGGAGAATAGCGAAATGAAGACGGTGAAGGTTTTCAAGGTCTTAAACCATCAAGTGCCCATCGCGCTACAAGAGAAGCATATAATCAAAGGGATTCATTAGCCAATTTCTTGTTGACTCCT